ATTATTAATTTTATTATTATTATTGTTACTATTATTATTATTATTATTATTATTATTATTATCATTAAACTATATTACCTGCTGATAGCAATTCCGTAACCACTTCGACGTCTCCTTATCACCCGCACTGTTGTACTCGTTCTACGTTTTGAATCCTGTTTTTCAACGGTTGCATCAAAACGTATACCACCATTTCGATATTCATCTGAAAAAACAAAAGCAAACAAAATTATCGCTAACGTAGAGTAAAGTTAAATATAATTTAAAATTAAACATTCTTATTTCTTTCTCTTTTTTTCTCTGAAATACCTTTAAATTAATAAATATTAGGTTTTTGAATTATTTATTATATTATTTATTTTATTCATTCTTTACTTTAACATTGTATCATTTTGTTGAGTTTTGAAAGTATTTTGTTTGTTTTATTATTAATTATTATTTGTCAATTATAAATTGTACAAATGATGTGTATTTATATTAAAAAATTCAACAATTCTGTTTAAATTTTAGATATTATACAATTCAGTATGCACATTAAAATATTTATTTATTATTTTATTCATTTTACTTTTTTTTATTTTCAGTTTTTTTTTTCTTTTTTTTTTAATTATATTTTTATCATTTGAATAAACAATGTTTTCTAATTAATTTTTGTTAGAGCAATAAATAATCGACGATTTCATATAGATCACATTAAATTAGATATGACTTATGATAAACTGTGATTTAATTAGATCATAATTAGATCGAATTGATCTGCTTATTAAATCATACAATAATTAATTAATTTCACATCCTAGATGTGTAAATGCTAGTAATTAATGTTTCTTAGTACAATAAATCATTGATAAAAGATGAATTTGTCAAATTATTTTTTATTTTTTGGCATCACAAAACAAAACAAAAAAAAAAAAGAAAAATTCAATCATTGCTTTTTGTTTTGTTTTATTAATTTCCTTAAAATTTGCATAATTTATTTTTGTTAACAAAATCAAAAGCTAACAAAAAAAAAAAAAATTAAAATTAAATAAAATATATGAATGAGAAATTTCATCACAGCAATATTTTTAATTTATTAATTAGCGTTGAGAAAATAAAGGACTAAAATTAGAAGAAACAAAAAAGATCAAAAATTATTATTAACGAAGAGAATAATAGAAATAGTTTATTATTTAAATTCATATTAAATTTAAATTTGAAATAATCTAAAAAACAATAATGTATGCATCATATAAGCATTTCATATATATTTTAAAATTATTTCGATCGATTTTTAAATAAAATTAATATTAATAAATGATATGAACAAAAATTTTCATTTAACAAATATTTTCGTTTTTTTTTTATTTGTTTTAGCATAGCAAAATTTAAAGCTCGAAAACTCGAAGGAAAAGGAAGAAGAAAGGAATTAAAAAGAATGAATATTTGGTATTTATAAATTTTATAAATATATACCAAAAAACTAAAATTATTAAACAAAAAGAAAAAGATAAAAAAGAAAAGCGAAAAAGCGGAAGAAAGAAAGAAAATTATATCAATAAATTGTTAAAATAATTTAAAAAAGAAACAATAATAAAATTGATTGTTATATAATTTAGAATGAAATATTTACATTTCATTTCATTTCAAAAAAAAAAGAAATGAAAAATAAGATGGAAATTTCATTTTTTGGTATATAATTAGCAATCATAAAATATTTCAATTTTTTTTAAAAAAAAAAAAATAAAATTTTCTTTCATATCAGAAAAGAATTTTTTTTTTTGTTTTTAGCATTTGGTAAGAAAGAAGAAAAATTCTTTTTTATATATTCAAAAATTGAAACTTTTTAGAAATCTCTAAAAAAATTAATTTTTAAAATATTTTTCGTTTGTTTTCGTTTTTTTTTTGACTTTTTATTTATTCATATCAAAATTTTAATTTATAAGAAAAAATTTTATTGGAAATATTAATAGAATACTTACTATTATTTAAGCATATCTGTTAAACAAATTTTTGGAAATTTATTTTTTTTTTTTGATTTACATTTTAAATGAAAAACAATTGCTTTTGTGTAATTTCATTTCTTAGCCATTCTTTGATAGAGTAAATTTTCAAAAATTTTATCAGTTAGTAATGATAAGAAAGGTTAGGAATATATCATGAAAGATATATAATCATAAGTATTAATTCAAGTTAAACTTGAATAATTTCAATTAATTTGACATTAATTTAAACATTAATAAATTTGATTTGTAAAAAAAGTTAAATAAAATATAAATAGAAGAAAATAAAAACGACAAAATAATAAATTTTTATTTAAATAGAAAAATTAATATCAACATTTTAATATTTTTTTACGAACTTTTTTTTTTCATTTGCTTTTTAATTTTTTTTCCAACTGTAACAAAAATTTAATAAAAATCAGAAAAAAAATTGATATAAAATTGTTCTTTTCGCTGTTTTCTTTTTTCTTTTTTTTTTTTTTGCAGTTTTACTTTCAAAAAGATAATGAAAAGGTATGATTATATAACAATCTGATATAAACATTAAAATTTATCAGTGATATTTTCTCGTTAGATTAAAATGATTAAATCGAAATCGCTAGCTCTTTTCAAATTTTAATAATTATAATTTTGTTTATGTCATTTATAAATTACAATAAACATGCAAATATTTATAAAAAAAAAAAAAACGTTAACAAAAATGACGTATGTCTCATTCACGTCATTCATTTTTCATCGCTTTTTTTTTTATTTTTTTTTTATTCAAATTTTTTTAAAACATTTTTTATGTTTAAAATTTTTCCTTCAAAAATAGAGCAGAATGTTTTGCCAATAATTACATTTTAGCATAGATCAATGTGATTAACACTAATAAACAATGATTAATTAATTTGAAATATTTGATATTCGATAATTTTATCATTAATCAAATATCAATTTCATATATATCTTTAATCAAATATCAATTTCATATATATCTTTAATCAAATTCATAACTTTCAACCAAACCATTCATCATTTTATCATTTAAAAGAAAATTTATAATAAATTTTATTACATAGCAGTAATTCATTTGTGAAAAATGCTAGACACATATGTTCTGAAATAGCAATTATTTAAAAAATTTGAAGAAAATAAAAAAGACTTTAAAAAAAAAGGAAAGAAAAGAAAGAAAAGAAACCAAAAAAAAAAGTTAAAATTGAGGAAATAAAAAAAGAAAAGAAAAATGATATAATCGTGATTAAATGTAATTTTACTACCCTGTGAATTAAAAAAAAGAAGAAAAAAAAAACTTTAAAAAATGAAACTATTCAATCATACTTAGATTCTCCTAAAAATAGTAACATTTCCCTTTTTTTGCAAAAAAAAAAAAATGGAAAAAATGGAAGAAATTGTTTTATAATATATATTTTTTAATGATAATGAAAACTATTATTATTATTGTTTTACAAACAATTATTTTATAAATAAATTATTTTTGCAAATAAATGCTTTGCAAATATATCACAAAATATTTTATGTTATTGTTTATTATTATTATTATTATTATTATTATTATTATTATTATTATTATTATTATTATTATTATTATTATTATTATTATTATTATTATCTGTAAATATATCACAAGTAAATATTTTATATTATTGTTAAATATTATTATTTTCGTTACTGCCATATAAATAAATTATTAATGCTATTGTTATTACCGACAATAACGAAATACAATACAAACGAATAAATAACTTAAAAACATATTATTATTATCATTAAATTTATTTATCAACAAGATAATATCCTTATCACCATAAAGAATAAAAAATAAATGATATAAATGATAAATATTTATAAAATCCAATGATATCAGAGCATAGAGATCGATTCTGGATAGCATAAATATTTACATTTTTATTATAAATCGTAGAAAAAATAAATAAATAAACAAACATTGCATTGAAGATACCAAAAGCTTCCGAAATATTAAAATGAAGGTAAAAGATAATTAATTATATGATGATTAATTAGTGATTAATTAATGTAAATTCGTTTGCATCTGTAGTTTATTAATGAATGTAATAATGTTTTGATATTTATGCTAATAGTTATTAAATTTCAACCTTCTATCATTTAAAATTCAAAAATAAATATATTAAAGCTTAAAAATTACATCAAATCAAAATTGGGAATTTATATTCAAATTATTTTCGTGGCAACTAGAATTCTCAATTTAATATTTTTTTTTTTTATTTCTTTTCTTCTGCTAGCAAAATATTAAATGAAGTAGTACATAGGATTTTTTTTTTTTTGATAACTTTAATAAAACAATTGATTATTGAATGATTATACATAAATATATAATCGCTGAGGTGATTAATTAATTAATTTCTTTTTTTTTTTGCCCAAATAAAGTCGAAGTAAATACCATTTGAATAATTTTTGTTTTGAAGAAAAAATTTTGACAAATATTTATAAGAAAAACTTTAAAATTTTTCAAAATTAAAAACAATATGGGAAATAGTATGAACAAAACAATAAACTTACATAAACACCATAAAATAAAATAAAAATTGATTGTGATAAATGTTAATTTTATTTTTTCAATATAAAATAAAAAATTTAACTTTGTCGACTTTACTAATTTAAGCAAACGTATCTTTAAAACGCTTAAGGATGGTTAAAATAATCAAAAAATTGAAGTACATACTTCCCATTTTATTAGGTAAAACAGCTTTAGCTTTAATTTGTTTACTATTAATTCTCCCTTTTTTTTTTTTTTTTTTTTTTGTTTCCAGTTGCAATTTAAATTTATTTACACATTTGTTCATTTTGAATATGAATAGAAGTACTTTTGCAAATTCCAAAATTGCCTAATTAAAATAATTCCGCATTGAATGAATACAATTTAAATGCATTCAAAAAGTTCATAAAGATAAAAATTTCTAAATTTAAAAGAAATTTTTTCTCTTTTTATTCGTTTTTTTTTAAAAAAAAAAAAAAGAAAAATGGAATAATCAAATTTTAACCTTTATCTTCATCCAGTTCCTGTAGAAGTGCGCCAGGTCCGGATTCTCGCCGCAATGCTGACCTTGATGTTAGTAATGATTTAAATTGATTTGTATACCCGCTGATGCGTAAAATATCTGAACTGACCTAAAATTTACTTTTTTTTTTTTTTTTTGGTGAAATCAATCTTGATGAATTCAATAAGAGAATTTTCCAATTTGGAAACCAAAAATGTTTATACAGTATATCCTTCAGCTTACGTTTATACTTTACATTTTTCTATTTATACTGTAAATCCCTTGTACCTATACTGTAAATCCTTTATCTTATGCTCATACTGTAATTCCTCGTATTTATACTGTAAATCCTTTATCTTATGCTCATACTGTAATTCCTCGTATTTATACTGTAAATCCTTTATCTTATGCTCATACTGTAATTCCTCGTATTTATACTGTAAATCCTTTATCTTATGCTCATACTGTAATTCCTCGTATTTATACTGTAAATCCTTTATCTTATGCTCATACTGTAATTCCTCGTATTTATACTGTAAATCCTTTGTTTTGTATTCATACTTTATACATTGCTTCCAGTAATGTTTAAGGTACTTTTGTTTTCAATCTTATGTTTCTACCACCTTTATATATTGTTTCCTATTTGATGTTTACAACTCAAATTACCTTTACCCCCATGAAATGGATTATTTTAATGTAAAAATTTAAGTTTGACAACAATAAGCATTTAAATATTTGCTTAAATCTCTAATTCTGGTTAAACATATATTTAAAAGGTATGAAAAAAATTTAATAACTCCAGTCTCTCAATTAAATTAGTTAATTACTCCTAAATATTTGGGAAAATAAGCTTTTTCATTTTTCAAATTTGTTATTAAATTTCATTCTTTTTCTTTAATCTAACAAAGTATTTTTATTGCTAAAATTGAAAGAATTTGATAAGTAAATAACGAGGATAATAATTGTATTTGATTAACAATTGAATTCATTACTACGCCAGGTATACCATCAATAATTTATGATATAAAACGTTTTTTATTGGCTTTGATAAAAAATTTTATCAGATAATCGAGATACTTAAAATAAGTTAAATTTGTAATTGTTAATTTAAATAAACAGTTTTTAAAATATTTTAAAAGATATGAAATGAAAAATATTTTTAGATAATTTTTTTTTTTTGTGTGACTTATTTCACTCTTCTGTTTTTTTTTTTGTTTTGTCAAGTAAACTTAGTGAGATTTGATTGGTTTGTAAATAAAAGTACGAGATTTAATTTGTTTGCTAAAAAATGATTATGTTGTTTGTTTATTATTGAACAAATAATAATTATGAATGCAGTTAATAATTTAATGGTCAACTTTTTCAAATTGTAATTGATTTTTTTTTTCGAGAATATATTTTCAAATAGTTTCTCAACAAATCTTTCTATTTTCATTCATCATTTTTTTTTCGTTTCTATTGTTGAAATGATTAACTTTTTTTTTTTCTTAAAATAATATTGAAAAAATTTTTTAAATTTTTTAATTTCATATTTGAAAATTTTTTATACCTTAAAAAAATACTTAATGTGACACATTTTTTTTTTCATTTGTTTAATTCATTGTAAAATTTAATTCCAAAGAATTAAATTTTCATTTTTGATTCAAACCTGAGCAATAGGATTGTTGAATAAACGCATTTCATCGGTGTGTGGTTTTATCAGAAAATCACAACTTCGTCCGAAACGCTTATCCAATTGACTAATTTCATTACTGAAAATTACAAAAAAAAAAGAAATGAAATAAATTATAATATTTGTAAAAATAAAGAAAAAAATTTTATAAATTTTATAATTTTGTGATTAAAAAAAAATATTTTTAAGCAAAACTATAAATTTCATAAAAAAAAAATCAACAAAAAAATTATTTTATATTATTTTTTATGGTAAGTATTAAAAATTATGCATAAAATTTGAATATAAAATTACTGATTAATTTTTGAAAATTTTTGCTCGTATTAATGTTAACTTTTATATATAATCGTTTTTTAATAAGAATTCTTTACTTTATATTATTATTATTATATATCGGTTTTTTAAATAATTAAATAATACATAAATATATGAGTTATTAATTTTATTTAACTGTTTTCTTTTTTTCATTTTTGTTTTTTATTTTTTATTTAAAAGGAAATCATAGAATGAAATGTAGTTGGTAGGAAAATTTTTGAACAAATACATTTCTAGATAATGATAATTAAAGGAATAAAGTTATAACTTTAATTTGAAATAATCCTTATCAGTATACATACATATATATATCACATAAGCATAGAAGGAAGATGATAGAAATGATAATGGATTAAAAAATATAAAAATAGTAAAAATCTTTTTTTTTTTTTTTTTTAAAATAAAGAAATTGAGAAGAATATTTGTTTTTTTTTTTGAATAACAAAATTAAAATAAAACAAATGAAATAGAAAAAATTAGATTTATATGTAATATAAATATGTAAAAAAAAAACTTTAACAAAAATTTGTGCATAAAATGCTGCAAAAAAAAGGAAAAACAAAAAGCAAATAAATAAACAAAATAAATTAAATAAGTGCATTTAATTATTTTTTATTCTACTTTTTTTGAAATAATTTTTTTTTGAAATTATCAAAAAAAAAAAAAAAAAAACTAAATAAAATTTTAAATCAATGTAATTAATAAAAATTGAAGAAATATTTATTTGTATATTTCAAAATTTCTTTTTTCCTTTTTTATTTCTAGAAAGTATTAATTAGTATTAATAAGCCTACATGGTACTATTCCGTGGTGATGAATTTGTTACCGTTGCACCTTTCTGTAGTGTTCGACCGTCCGGTCCACATACAGGCATCGTTGATATCCCCTGTTGCACCCTACAATTCTTTTCTTTCTCTCTTTTCCTCTCTCTCTCTCTCTCTTTTTTTTCGTTTCTTGAATTATAAGATTAAAAATAAATTTGATAATTTATTGAAATGAATCATAAAATTTTATTCCATTTCATTATGATAAGCTTATAGCAGTACAAAATTAGATTAAAAATATGCAATGATACGGTAGTTCTTTATGAATTATTTTCAATAAAATATGCGATTTTTTTTTTAGTTTAATATATGTGATATCATTCATTATTTATCATTTTATCACTTATCATTTATCATTTGTTATTATCATTATTATAGGAAAATTATTTTTAATGTGTAAAATAATAATTAATATTATATGAAATATTTTTATATTATAATATTTGCTTTTCAGCTTTTATTAATCATACTAATCAGTTAAATTTTAAGTTGTAATAATTGATCAAAGTTTAAATATGAAATAATACTTTGACAAATAATCAAAATGAAACGCAACAATATAGTGACGTTTTATAAAAAAAAAAAAAAATAAGTTACGTGTTTCGTGCAAAAACATGCAGATGAGAATACGTATATTATACATAAATTTTATGCAAAATATGAAAATTTTAAAATGGAATAAGAAATGAAATCAAATGAATGAATGAATTATTGCTTAGTAAACATAACAACCACAGTAAATTTCATTAAAAATTTAAAAATATTAAGTGTTTTTTCTTTTTCCTTTTTTTTTTTTTGAGAACTTTTAAATTTTACTATTTGTTTGATTGACAAAATAAAAACAATTATTATAGTTTATACAGTCAAATTTTTTTTAAACAAAATTGGTGAAAACAAAATTTTGATATTTCAGAAAGGTTAGAGGTCAACAAAAAACAAGAAAGAAGGGAAAAGAACTGCGATAGAAATTTAAAAATTAAAAAAATTGCAAAAAAAAAAAAGAAAAATGAAGTAATTAGTAAAAAATAGTTTATTCAAAATTTTTTATCCTTTTACTTTTACTAAATTATACGTTATTAGCTTAGCAATATAAAAAGGAAAATAGTATTAATTAAAAACTAATTGCACTGTATTTGTTTTTAAGATTGCTTACAATTTGATATTAGCATAATTTTATTTTATCTAACAATAATTGAAAAATAATATTATTCATTTTTTCGTTTTTTTTTTTTGGATTGGAAATAAATTTTCATTAAATATAATGAAAAATATTAAGTATGCTAGAAATAAGATTTTAAAATTAAAATTGTAATATTTAATGATAAATTCAAATCATAAACTTGTTTACTGCATTATAAAACAACTGACGATAACTCAGTGATTTATTGATTACTTATCAAATTTGATTATTAAAAAAAAAATCCTTCTTTTTTTAATAAAACTAAATTTCGATGTGCTATCGCAAATTCAAAGTTTAAAATTTCAAAATACTTCAAAAATAAAATGTTAATTAATGTATTATAACCATTTTCTTTTCTTTTTTTTTTACAAATATATTTTAACATTTTACAAAGAGTTATTTTATTCTAACTCATTTTTTTTTCAAAGTGATAATTATAGTTAAAATGATTTATGATAAGAATTATCACATTTTTTCTTCCTTTTCTCAAACACATTTGATTGAAAAATTGCAATAGAAATTTTTGATCAAAATATTGAATTTGTATACTTAAAGTATACTTAAAGAATCGAATTATAATAGATTTAATAATTTTTAAAGGCTATAAAATTTAATACCTAAAAATTTGAAAAGTTTCATAAAAAAATTTCAAATCAAAATATTCGTTTATTTATTTGAATTATTAATGTACAAATTTTATAAATATTAATAAATGCAAACTAAAAATTGTAGCTTATTTTATTAACTTAAATACAAAGAATAAACTAATATTTAATGGATTATAAATGAATGTTATGGGAAAAAGATAAAATTAATTAAAATTCATTGGGCTGAAATTTACATTTTCACATTAACTATTATTAAAAAGCTTATTTATTGGTCTGACTAATTAATTATGCTAATCAATCGTTTAGAAATTGTTAATAAATAAAAAAAAATTTTTTTTTTCTTTTTTAAATCGATTTGATAATGAATTTAGCAAATTCCCAAAAAAAAAAAAAGAAAAAAAATAGCTTAAATTTTTTCAATTTAAATAACAGAAACAAATTGTACATAATTTTAGCATACAAAAAAAAAAAAAGAAAAAAATTGTTAAATCAAGAATGGATTTCTATAATTTAATGATTTTGGTTCAATAAAAATTTAATTTTGAAGTGAGAAAAAAAAAGAGAAAAGAGGAAAATTTCTTTTCATTTTATACAAAAATAAAATAAAATCATTTTTTGATCTGATTTTTGAAACGTTTATTTTTCATTTTTTTTTCTTTTTTTTTTATTCAAAAATGACAAATTTTCATGAAATTAAAAGTGTAAAAAATATTATTCAAATTCTGACAATTTTTACTTTAACTTTTTATCATAAATTCTTGTAAAAGTATCACTTATTTATTCTAAAGTAACGATTTTCATTTTTACTAAAGCAAAACTAAAGTAAAACGACAATACAATTAATTAGTTAAAATTTATCTTTTGAAGTAATAATTTTTTTTTTTGATTGTAATTTAAATCTAAAAGATTAAAGTAAATATAGAAAGAAAGTATAAAACTAAGAAAGAAAAGAAAATAAATTAAAAACAAAGATTGTTTTAATACCAATAACTTTTTAAAGTTTTATAAAAAATTGTAAAAAAAAAAAGAACGAAAAAAATTTTGAAATTTTAAAAAATTTTCAATTTTTATCACAGAAAAAATTATTAAAAAGATGAAAGTATTACTGATTGAATGATTTGATTAAATGAAATAATCGAAACAATCAAAAAAATAAAATATGAAATATAAATTATTATACAAATTCTTTATATGCTTATCATTTTTTTTTTCGATTAATTTTTTTATTTCTTTTTTTTTGGAAAGAATGTTTAAAAAAAAAAAAAAATGAAAATATTTTGTTAAAAAATTCAACAAATTGATTGCATACAAGAAAATATTATAGCAATTTTGAATGAATAATATTAAAAGTATCACAGCAATACTTTCTAACCAATTAAATTTTTTGAATTATAGAAAAATCATTTCACTCAGTGCTTTCTTTCTTTTTTTTTTTTTATTTACAATTAAATGAGTGTTAATTTATAAATTAAATTTTCAAAATTGTTAGAATTGGAAAGTAAGCGTTTTCTCTTTCATTTTTCTCTCTTATTTGAAAGAGAAAAGAAAAAAAAGAGAATTTTTGTTCATTTATAAAATAATTTTTTCTTTTTTTTTTTTTTTGAATTCCGACATTTCTTTTTTTTTTTTTTTTTTTTAAACATCTGTTATGCACTTTAGAGAATTGAAATTGAATTAAATATGATGATTGAAAAATTTTTTCTATTATACTTCGTTTTTTTAAAATGATATTTTACCGATATCTCAGCACACACAGTTTATGCTAATGTAATATTAAAAAAATTACTGAGTAATTTCAATGAAATTTAAACAGTTTTTTAAGCATTAAACAATTTATTATATTTCTTTTTTCAACACATTATAGCATTTTATAATAAAGGACGATTTTAAATAAGTAGCAACAATAATAATAGTAATAATAATAATAATAATAATAATAATAATAATAATAATAATAATAATAATAATAATAATAATAAAAATAATAGTAATAGTAATAATAACTACTAGTAACAATGGTAATAAGACTGATAATAATAATAAAAACGGAAGAAATAAATTGATTTATAAAAATTATCAATAAAATATCAATGAAATAATCATCAAAGCTGCTCGTTGCTAGTAAAAAATAGGAAAAAAAAAATTTAATTATCATTTCTTGGCTAATTTCTTTTTTTTTTCTTTTTCACAGCTAATCATTTTACATATTCGTAATCAGTTAATATCTTATTGAAAAAGATTTTTTTTTTTTTTAATAACAATAATCAATTATTTAAATGCATTGAAATTAATCAGTACTACTAAATAAAAAAATTTTTTTTTTCTCTTTTAATTTTAATTTTTTTTTTTTATGATAAAAAAGGGGAGAGGGAGAGAGAGAGAGAGAGAGAGAAAAAAATTTGAGATAAGTTTATAAAGTTATTTATTCTAGTTAGTTGTTCATAAACATAAAAATAAATTGAAAAAAAAAAAATTGAATTAAAATACGATTGATGAGAATGCTTTTGCATTATAATTTTATACAATATTATTTTTATTTGCTAATTTATACTTTTCTTTAATGATAATAATTTGAAAAAAAAACAAAGAAAAACAAAGGAAAAAATTTTTTAGCTGAAAAATTTAATAGCAAAAAAAAACTATTCTCGAAGAAAAAAAAAAGATTTTTGGCGGAAAAAAAAAATTAAAGATTTCAGTGAAAAAAAACACACAAACACAAACACAAATGAAATGTTACATTTAAAAAAAAAATGAAATTTAAAAAAAAAAATGTAAGAATGTTTTAAAAATTAATAATTAAAAAACTTTTTACAATTTTAAAATCTATTATATCGATATAAATGTGAATTGTTTTTGTTTTCTGATTTATTTCTCACATTTAACCCGCGGGGCAATTCCTAAAAAGTACTCTTTTTACGTCATTCAAAGTGTGATTTTTGATCTAAAATAAAATGAACAAAAACATTTAGCATTTTCATTTTATCATTTCTAAAATATTTTTTATATAATTTGATTTTATTAAATTAATATTAGCATTTTTATTTTATCATTTCTAAAATATTTTTTATATAATTTGATTTTATTAAATTAATATTATTTTATTAAATTAATATTAGCATTTTTATTTTTTCATTTCTAAAATATTTTTTATATATTTTGATTTTATTAAATTAATATTAACATTTTTATTTTATCATTTCTAAAATATTTTTTATATAATTTGATTTTGTTAAACTAATATTATTAGCTGATGAATTTTATT